GTTGTCATGAAAATGAGAAGCCAGTATAATGATTTGGCTTGTTTGAAATTAAAATGGCAGCTCTGGGTGTCGGGTTTGGCTGTGGTTGGTTCAAGGCCTCTGGAGCATAAGGACTTTCTGGTCGAGACTTATCTCTAGGCAGAAGAAGAGGAGGTAATATCATCCACAGAAAGGAAGCACAAAATGCTTCACACCAACCAATAACACCTGCGCTAGTTTAACTCAAAAGCAAGTTTGAAAAAGGAGAACCTGATAAATGGACCTTTGCCAGTTTGACAGCTATTCAAATGGCTGATTAGAGTCGTGTAATTCAATGTTCTTAATCTTGTTTTCAACACTCAACTGCCAATTGCACAAGAGACGAAATGTTTTTATGAACACCATAAGTCTCATCAAAAACATCTACTAAGATAAAGATGAATGTGTCTGTACAGACAGACCCTGACAGGATTGTGACGTACCTCCTGGCCTTGGTCAAGAACACAGAGCTTGGAGCACTGCTTCTTGGCATCCATGAGAACATTGAACATTGTGCACACAGACAAGGGGATGCGGAAATCAGTCGACTTGCAAGACTTCTGCATTTTAGAGTCAAAGGCAACTTTGGTCCTAGACATCAGAGATGGAGAAATCAGTTACATATAGCCCCTGTCTTTAAAATGAATTCCATTATTAGTCCTTAAATAGCTGACCTTTTGACACAAGCCTCCATCATATCACTAGCCATCAGTTTGAGCCTTTGCTCCAGATGTTTGGCGAACTCCGGCTCTGGCCAGTGCAGGTCCATCACGAACATCTGAAGAGCATCCAGCTTCCAGAATAGATCTTCTGATGTGGCCGAGCCGTTACTGAGGAAGACAGAAATAGTGCAAGACTAACATTTACAATTGTAAATTTACAACATTTACAATTACAAGACTAACATCTTGTAATTAATATATTATTTTTTACACTATCTCACGTCATTATAGCACTTGCCACATTATTGTAACACCTACAGATATTTCTCACTTGCATACAAATGTCTGATAAATCAATTCATGTAAATGCACTTGAAAGGGTTCAGAGACTCAAAAAGGGGATGGAGGACTTATATGTGAAAACTCCTTCCACTGGCAATGAGCAGTTAAGTCCCCAAACTGCAAAATGCACAGTCAAACGACTAATCATGCGAGAGAGGTACTGTAGAAGTCAGGTTCTCTTGCACCCAGCTGACTGAAGTGCATCAGACAGGACTGTCTGTCTAAGAGTGGTTGTTCCAAGAAGAAGTCGAGATTGACAGCAATTTCCATTGATGTTGTGTGCGACTCCACTGGGTTCTAATGGGCTCAAGAGATCTTGGCCAATCGAG